AACTAACTTGTGGTTGCCAAAAGCTGCATCGATTTTGGTGCCTCTAAGCCAGCTGTTGTGTTAATGATTTCTATCTTTATCAATCACACAGTTATCACTAGTAGTATTTATTACGCCATCTGAAGTCTAGAAAGCATTTGGAAATTTTCTAAACAAGTCATTTGGAGCTGATGCATAAAAAATCTGAGTCAAATTCATGGGAACAACTATTTCATCCATCAAGAAAAGGTTTTGGGGAGCGAACTTTACTGTTAGATAAATTGTAGAGATTCTCTAAAGAAGAGAGAAAGAAGAGAGAGAAGGAAATTGAGAGGACAAAATTATGCCGAGAGGTTTGTATTACTTGATTAATTGAGCTGTTGTGCAAGGCCTTCTATAGTTACGCAGACACCAAACATATAACAGTTCATAACAGATAACTATTCCTAAACTAACCCAGCTTCTTAACTAACATCTAACAGAACTTTACTTGACTGTGGAATTGATTGATTCTTGAGTTCCCCTGTGAAACTTCATCTGTAACATAACAGTTCCCGCATGTCTGATGACTTCATATTTTTTCCCCCCACTAAACTTAGTTATTTCAATGCTTTGATCGTACCATATAGATTTTTGATTTTCCAAGGTATGGTTTCAAATTGTGCTGAAATTTTGCTTGGTTTCTGCAGGTTCTTCACTCCAACGATAAATTATCTGATTTCAAGGGGGCATTATATTTATATTTTATGCTTATCTATTGGTAATTTACTTGAACAATCTGCTTGGGCTCATAATTGGCAGAAGTCATCGGACATGCACCAGCCTTGATATATTTGCACACATGACTTTATTTCTAGTCTTTGTTTAGTCATCAGTGAATGTTCTTCAGTTTCCCATATGATGTTCTTTCTTGACATATTTGTTGTTTTCCTTTAAAAGAGTATCTTTATTGTTCCATATTTAGCAAGTTCGGCTACTGTCTTTACATAGTGAGGCTGATGACTATGCGGTGATGAGCATTATATACCACTCCACCTTTTGTTTATTTAGTCATGCAGATAGTATGTTTTGATTTGAAATACTGAACTTGTGTAACCAGATGGTTGTAAATGTACATATATATTCAGCAAACCTAAAGAAGATTAAAGAATTAAGAGGCTGGCTTTAGCAGGAAGACGTGCATAACTCATTTAGGTTCAAGTTGCTGCTGTTTGTGCATTTAAATATTCATTTTTATCTAGCATTGTCTTCTTCCTTTTGATTATTTGAAGATTCTCCACAAATAAAGCTTTAAGGTCAGAAATAGCATTTTGTGTATGCCATTCAGGGCTACAAAGTTGCAATTTACTAAAACGATTCAATCCTTTAAATTCACTCACCCAACATTCTAGTAGAATATTGAGTTGAAATTTTATGTCAAGTTGAAATAAGCTGTCGAAGGTTGGTTAAGTAGTAAGATTTGTTAGATGGTGGAAGTGTAACTGGATAAATATTCAACTGTAAGGGAAAAACTAGAGGCAGAAATTCCTGACGAGAAAAAGTTCAAGGATTAAATTAATGGGCGAAAGGAATTAAAATCTTCTAGAGGGTTCCAATATCCAAGAATGATGAAGAGGAGGAAGTTTCCAAAGCTACTCCAAGAATTTTGTCAATTTATTTAAGTTTTGCCTTGCATCAGCCCACCAGCAAACTTAGAATCCTATTCATCTCTGTCTATTGGGCTTTGGAAAGTTAGTAATTGGTAAGGAAAATCTAGCTTAGGGACCTAGGATACTAATTGATAAACATTTCCTTTTGTATCAAATTTCTGCTTGTTATCACAAAAACCAAGTTTGAATATGTGGTTTAGAGAAAGATAGACTTTCCTGTCTAGCCATTACGCAAGGGTGATGTCCATATTTCAATCCTTTATAGTTTTCTTGATGCAGGTGATGCAGATAATAGAGGAAGAATCAGAAAACGAGAGCTCTTTCAAGCTTGTGCAACCCTCAAGGTAACTTAAAATGTAGCTATTTTTTTATCTTGCCCCTGTCATAAAGCTGTTTCATATTTTTTTGTCTTGTAGAATTTTTAAGTGCGTATAACTTTCCAATTGTAAGGCAACATTCATTTGTTAGCCCTAGGCAACCATTTTTCAGTGTTCTTTTAAAACAGATTGGGGTAGAAGATGCCAGGCAATTTCACATGGCTGTTGTTTGTTTGGTATGTGAAATTTTGTATGTAGGTTCCGATGCAACAAGTGAAGGTTGTGGACCATCCCGATCTGCAGGTTCTAATCTAATAATTCTCTTGAGCTTAGTGAAAGTTGTATCACGTAAATTACTGTTAGTTCCATTCAAAGCCATTGTTTAATTCATTATCTTCGCTAGGATGGTTTTGGTAAAGTTTGGAACCACAAGTTGGTGGCAAATCTTGTCAAGGAAGAAATAGGCAAGTACAACATTGATATGGTAAGATAAGATGATGATTTTGAATGAACTTGTCAAAGTTGAATCTTTGCCTCCACGTTGTCATTACTGGGCGTGGGAACATATTTTTGGACTCATGAGCTTCTTTCTTGGCTTTTGCTTGTTTGCAATTTGCCCAGATTATCACTTTTGACAATTATGGTGTTTCCGGTCATTGTAATCATCGTGATGTGTACTATGGGGTGTGGTAAGTTTAACTCTTTCTTTTCTTAAAGAAAACTGAATTTGATCAATGATAACATAATCAAAACTGGAAAAAACTCGCAGATATACCCTCTGTTCAATATGAGATAATTTTAACATAAAAGGTGATGTAAGATTGTAATAAAAGGGGTATCGATTAGTTAGTTTAGTGAATTAGGTAGGGCTAGAGTTGATGAAAAAAGAACCAAAAAGCTCATTGTAATTTTTGAAATGATAAGAATTGAGTCTTTTTTCTCTGCTTCTCTCTCTGTCTCTCTGTCCCTTTCTTCTATTTCCCTCTCTTTCCCTCAATCTCTCTCTCTTTCCTACCCTTATTCTATAACAAAAGGTTTATAGAATTTGATATATCAATATGTGCCAGTTCTGATCTGTGGAACTCGTTGCTTTTCTTCTCACTCTTTGCCCTGCTAATGATAGACCCATTTTCAGATTGCTGTGCTAGTAGTGCTATTGTGGGGGAAGGACTAGATTTTCCTTCCTTATTTACAAATTACAGGACCTAATACTCATTTGGAAGCTCATTTTCTATTTCATATATCATTTTTCTCTCTGAATATTTGGAGGTAATAAAGTTCATAAATTCTCGTGAAGTTGCTGTGTGGGTTACCATCGTAGAAGTACTCGCCAATAGTACTTTAATGATCCATGGAAAGTACCAACGAGATGATAGGTCATCAGAATTTAGACATGAGGATGTGAATAGTAATCTATATATGAGATTAATGCGGTTGACTTGTCGAATTTTAATTTCCTTTCACTTGATACTTATCAATTCTCTTTTGTGTGGTCTAAGCAGCGAGTTATTATATGATATACCACACAGGGAAATTGAAGCCTGGGAGCTGGTATGTTTTCTGTTTACTTTTTTGATGGTGATTAGTTGTCTCTAAGACTTGTTCAATTTGACATGTTTGCTTGGCGCGCCATATTTTCAGGTTAGCACCAACATATTGCGCAAGTACATTGGACCTATTGATGTCTGGTTGTCCGTGTTTGTTGCTATGCTTCATTCAAATGAAACAATCCAGTTCTTGGTAAATGAGCATCCCTGTAGAAGCTTTCTTGCTATGGCCCAACACTCAAGTCAGTGGGTCTGGTATGCATGCTTTTACTTATTATCACCATAAAGCAGTACCCGTCTTTCTTTAGGAGTTTTCCTTCTTCAGTCTTTGTCCTTCCTCTTTGATCTTGGACCATCCTATAAATTATACACAGCTTCTATGACAATTGCGCGTAGATTGCCTTCTTGAGGTGTATTGTCCGACATGAAGGGTCTTGTTTGGGTTTGACTTGGCTTAGTTAATAAATATGTAAGTTTGAACATGTTAAACTTGTTTGGTTAAACAAGAAAAGCATGAGAGTTTTGAATGTTCAATAATTTAAATCACATAACTTTGTTTGGTAGAAAGTAGAAAAATTCATTTGTTTGAGTCATTGGAAACTGAAAACAATTGATGATTGCATTTCTGCAGGTTCCGCAAGTGTTTTGTAGCAATGTCGAGCTATACATATATGAACACACTCAGAAAGATCAAGTGAAGTTACTGCATATAAAATATCTTGTGTTGCTAGTGAAGCGAGCAGCTTTCTAATACATGCTTGATGCCCTTCTGTACAGCCAGCTTTATCACATGTTTCACATATTGGTTATGGAGGATATTAGTTCTATCCCTTTTATTGAGTTTTCACTTCTTTCCCGTGCTATTGCATGAACAGTAGTTTCCACCTGTACTAGTTTTTCTCCTGCTGATTTGGTCGTTAGAATCTTGTAACTAGATTATTGTTCTACAAAACTTGAATCTGAATGTTGAGAAAATGGGCATAGTTGCATCCATAGTAGCAGCTCCTGATGCTCTTACTAATTTACATCCACAGCATCTCTAATTTTACAATTTGTTTTTTTTTGCCAGATAATTTTATAATTTATGTTAGAATGACCTTTGACGTTTATAAAATTTGCCGTCACATTTAGTTATAAAACGACCTACACCAATCTTTATAAAGGTGATATGTAAGCGTAAGAAATATGGGAGAGAAATAGCATATCAAAAATTCAAAATGAAAACTTCGTTGTGGGGACGTATTTGTTTTCTTTAAAAGCTGTTGTAGTAGATGGAGTCTGAAAAGTAACTTACAATAGATTTCTTGAAGCTTTCATATTATATATTGGTAGATTGATACAAAGATTCAAAATGCAACGGGCATGGCTTCGAAGCAAACTTTAGAGAAAAGGATTGAATACTGAGCATCTCAACTGCTTTCATATAATAATTGGCGATAGACTTGACATTTTACAAGATATTGAATTGAATTAATTAATAAAGGGAAAATTATAATAAAATCTTTATAAAAAAAAAGTCCCAAAAATTACTATTTCCTATCTTAATACTTGTCATTACAAACTGTTTAGGTTATTATTAAAAAAATTTAATAATTATTTTCCTTCTTTAGAATCTTATTATAATTCTCCTACTAATAAAAGTATAAAACCAAGATAGTCTCATGAAACATGTCAATAAAATAACATTTTTGTCCCATTTGTACATCAAACAATTTTGGATTCCAGCTCGTTTAATCTCCATCAAAACCTGTACTTCCAAGAACTTCACAGGCATTCTTCTCGCACTCCAGTTTGCCCCATCTTGCATCCACTCGTTCGCAGGGAAATATCGGTTTGCCGAGGCTGTGATAATACCAAGAACGTAACAGCTCAGATGTTCAAGTTCTATAACCAATGCTAGATCACTTGAATTCTCTTTGCAGCTCAACATCGCGTTTTGAATTCCTTCAAAACCGAGTTGTTTGATGTGACCAATGGCTTAAAATTACAGGCGGGATTGACCTTACAACTTCTTACTTATCAGGGAGCTTTTATGTTACTAAGTTATAAGGCTATTGACTGATGTGACAAAATTTTGAGACACAGATCAGGGAGCTTAAACAGGTGAAGCCGAAAGAGGAGTCTCTGTTTTAGTGACACAATGAACAATAACATCTTTAAAATACAAGCTTACCTTCTATTAACAACGTTGTGCACATGACATAACCATTGGGAAAACTCAGCTTGAGATCCAGCCTGTACTGGATTTGCCCTGCTTAACATACAAAAGAACACATAATATGTATACACAGAATGGAATAATAGCAAATAATCATGTTGATTAAAAGCAAAAGAAAATTAGCTTATTTTCGTATTTTGGCCAGCAGATTATGTTCAAAACCTTGAAGAGATGCCAAGGAATCCCTCAAATGATGTCAAAAGGGTTATTTTTTTCAGTTCAATTTTACACCAGTCAAGGTTCACGAAGTGAAATTTTCAAACATGCCACTGCATGGTTGATGCTTGATGTTAAAATCATTTGTGGACCGTCAAAATAGCTACAGAAGCTCCTTAATTGCTTGTCACAGGCTTTCAGAAACAGATCCATGAGCGGATAACAGCTTCCAAGTGAAAAAAGACTAAGATGGTTCAGACTTCAGAAGAAGTAAGATGTGGGGCTATCCCCTTGTAATCAAAGACATTGATCTGTATATGCTGAGTGAAAATGCTCACTTACCCATTTCTAGTTAGTAATTATCATATAATGTTCCAAACGAAAAATAATATACCTTAAAACTTCTTTAAAGTGATCTGCGCATTCCTTGCAAGGGTACATTCGAGATAAGATTCCCATCTACACCCCAAACACAACCCGTTGGTTCAATAAGAAGATTGTGATGCACCACAGCTAATATGCTTTTAAGTTACCCGTGAAGGGAGTCAGCTGGATGCAAAGGGAATTATGATATATAACTACAGTTTAACGAGGACAGGCATCGGAGGAAAATACCATACCAGTTCTTTTACATCCTTCTTTTGTTGCCTTGTAGGATTATCTGGATACTGAGAAAAGAGACCACGTTGTTGAGAAGTCTAAACATTTCCAGACATCAGAGCACATATAGTTCAACCATATGGAATTATGGGGGGAAAACAAAAGCATGTAGCAAAATTTAAAGCAATAAAAGCTAGTCCTTTGCTAAGAGCAGGCTGTTGTCTTGCAGGTTCGGCCAGAGTAGACGATGTTCAATAAGAAGCTACAGATGCAAGAAACGATAAGATAGTGAATATGTAGTTTAAAGCAAGCAACAAAGGAGAAAACCAATCCATTATTTTAAGCATAATATATGGTTGTTATAATACAGGGAAACAAACAATTCCAAGATAGTCAGACAAAATTTCAGTCATTCATAAAAGACTGAACCAGGAAGAGAAACAGCTTCCAGTATTGTTGCTTTCTGGCGAAATGTCGAGATATATTCTGTCAAGGATTTATTACAACGAAGCACAGCTTCCCAATTACGAGGCAGAAAGTGCAATTAGTTATAGGAACATTTCAAATGAAGCAAGACAGCCAAAAGGGGAGGAAAATAAACACTAGTACATTGGTCTTCTTCTCACACACAAAATAATTTAATTTTAATATGATGAGCGACAAAAATTTAGTAAACACAAAAAGATAAAACATAATAGTTAGAAACATAAATGCAAATTGAAGCATAAAAAAAGCAATTGGAGTGACAACCTGAGCAGCAAGAGTATGAAGAAAAGTCCAAGTAGCCCTTCCAAGCTCCTCTTAGTCACTGGTGTAGCAGCAGATTTTATCTGTAGAAGCAAATGATAAAAAGTAGAGCGATCACTACCCCCCTTGTATGCACAAAAATACACTCTACGTGGAAATGAAAGAAGATACATTGCCCATCTGAATCTGAATTTTTAATCACTTTTTGTTTTTTTCTTAATCAGTAAATGCTTCATATGATTATGAAAAGTAGTCCCTCACATGAACTCCAATATATATATTAGACGAAGAGAAATCTGAGAACACACAAATTGTACTTCAAGTATATGAATTCAGACACAACTTCTCATAGATCGGCTATTGGATAAACCTTTTGTTAATAAAAATCCATAAGACGCATCATTTATTTTGTGAGAAAATAAATAGGAAAGAGTAAAAGGCAGTAAATGGAAGACTAACTACTCTCGTTTTTGTATCCAAGAACCAATGTAAATTCAGTCAACAGCATACTGAACCAAGGGACGAGGAGAACTATTTCAACTCAGTGCATGACCAGCATTATAATAGTAAGGCGAAGTTTCTCGCAAATAACCCATGAACTAACAAATTAAAGCAACTTTGGATACGACCTATCCCCTGTATATCTTGCCTAGTTGCAAAATGGAATTGTTTTGAAAGAAAAGAGTG